ATAAAATAAGATTTTAAATACATTTTATTTGTATATTATATTTAACATGTAACACAATCTTTATGACTATGTAAATTTGTACCCTCAAATACGATTAATTAAAGCTATTTTATTGTAAAATGCATCTAAAATGCAAAATATATTATCATTTTCATACTTTAATTCAGATTGTAAATACTTTATCATCATCACGAATAAAATATCGTATTATAAAAATTAATACTAAATTTGTTTCAATCTTTCATTACATAATATATTTAATGTAAACGCCTATTTGTTGTAAATATAAAACCTTAATAACTTTAAAATAATATTACTGTAAATTAACTTTAGAATTGTATCGTAATTTTGCTTTGTTTATTTTATCATATTGTCGTGCTCGATTATACAATAATACTCCTATTATTACTAAAGATGTTCCCATAGCTGATAAACCAGTTACTGGATTGTTAAATAATAACACAGAGAACCAAATTAAAGAAGCTCTTTTTGCTGTGTTAACAACACTGTAACAAAATATTTTTAATATTTGAGTCTAAAATTAAAGTAGTCTGTTAATATGATTACTTTACATTAAAACCAAAAAAACACACCTATGTGTCACAGGACTGATGTAATCCATAAGTACATATGCAGTAATACTTTGAAAATGGAAGAATACTCCATTAAGAAGAATGGCTGTGAATAATTTAAAACTTAGAGAATGCTCAAGAGTTGGTAAATCCACCAACAGAATTGACACTGGTATTTGTACCACAATTGATGCTAAACTTGTATAAAATTGTAGTTCTGCAGGTCTGTAATTTCACATAACAATTAGTATAATAAATTTAATTAAAACTAGTATAGCTTGAAGTGTAAATAAATGTCCATTAATTAGATATAAAACATTAAAGTGATTTTTCTGTACTGAAAAAATCTGCATTCAATACAAAACATATCATATTAATTTATATAATACATACGTATATTTAAAATTATCACCACTGATTAACATTTTTGAATAAACATTCTGTAAACATTCTGTTAAATTGGTAGCCATAGCAGCAATAAATCCTCTGAAATCAAAACTGATTTCATTTACTGAACACAAAGCTAATCCACCCATTACAGGAATTAAAGATAGATTTACATATAACCCTGTATGTTCTCCTGTAAACAACATTACAATTGTTAATTTTTTTTGGTATATAAATTTGTTTTTAAAAGTAATAATTTAATTCAATATTTTACATCTAAAAAAGTTTCTTAATATAAAACAAATATAGTTATAAATTATGTAATGTATTAGTTCTTACCTAATAAATATCTGCTAATAAGGACGGTAAAAAGTGGTGCACTACTTTTAATGGTTTCTGTGAAACTCACTGCTACATAATTGAGTGATACTAGTCCTAGTACTACTGTTGTAAATCTTGTACATCCTACCAATATCATATGTTTATAAAAACCTGCCGGTTTCATTAATCTGGGACGTGCTTTGTACATTCCACATGGAAAATACATTTGTATAAATCCACAAACTGTGGTCATCAACATTTGACAAGCACCTGTGAAAATTAATTAATATTTGATATTAAAAATAGAAATTTTAAAACATTTTAAAATTACAGTATTAAACTTCATAATTAAAAAGCAAAATTACATAAATATGTATGAAAATGAAAAATATTAAAAATTCCTTTAATAATAACTTTTATATTAATTTGAATGTTAATTAAAAATTTGTTTACCTAAAATTGTGGGATTGCCTTCCATGTAGGATAATATATATTTATTCAAGAATAGAGTGCATCCACTGATGAAATACCATAATATTAAAAATAACATAGCTCTGGGACAAAATAAACCATCCATTGCTTCATTTGTCAAAACTGTTTCCTCACGCTTTTTACTATTTTCTTCACATGGTTTACTTTGATTATCATGTATTAATGGTTGTTCTGTATCGCGAGGTATTAGCGTATAATTTATACGAACAGAGTGATTTTCCATTACACTTTCTTTTTGAAAAGAACTGTTATCATATTTTTCTCTTTTGAATAGAAGTAACTTGACAAAAGCTAACTTGTCGGTGAGATCACACCTTCAGTACGTCTGGGTAGTATGATGTTGACATTCGTATGTTTCCTTTAAAGGTTAAGTAGCTCCTCAGAGACTTCTAAATTCTCAATACGAATTTTAATTTTTGTATATCATGTAGCGTAAAAAGGTTTAGAATCTTTTCATACTGATATTGATGTACTGTTTACCATTTGAGTAATGATAGTAATTTTGTAGTTGTCACATCACTGTAAAAAAGTAAGTAGCTTTAATCGGACTCAATTTGTATGTTTACTACAATTATTTAGAGATGTGGGCTTAACATTTTCAATATAACATAGTTAAAACAAAAATATTCATCTATTTTAATTTTATAATATATGTTAGTATAAAATAAAGTGTTAAAAAGGCAGAATAAATATATATTAAATAAGTGTATACAATTATATAACCTAATTAAAAAAATATTATTTAAGAAAATATAAATCAAATCGTAATTATAAGCATTTATTTGATACATAACACTTAAATTTTTAATAAAAAATAATACAACAATATTTAAACAAACAGCATTTAAAAAATCTTTATATGCTAATAATGCAACATTTCTTCCACTTATTGAACTCATTTCCATTGCACTAGCTATCCATTCAATGGCATTGACATGATAGAGAGCATTATGCAGTTTAAATTTTGCCTCTTGAATTCTTGTTGAATATTCAGGATATGCTTTCCAAATAATCTGTTTTATTTCTTGGACCTAAAAAATGTTAAAGTACTTTTGTCTTGCATGTAACATATCTAATAATTTATGTAAATATTACAAACTCATCATACATTTGAAAACATATCCTTTATAATTGTTGGTTTTAAAGGTTTATTGCTGAATATCTTCCAAACTTTATCTTCTATTACATCTTCTACAGAATCTAATCTTCCTACAGAATTAACTATTGTTTTATTAGGATTACAACTTAGAATAGAAGATAATTCTTCTTCCAAACCAAAATAATGTGGCTTTAAATCTGCTTGAACAAATGTAGCTACAGTTTCATGATATTTTTCCATATTATAAAAATCATTGTTTGGAAATCCTTCAAAAGTTATAAGAAATTCCTGGTCACTTGTAAGTGGAACTGCTACGATTACAATGTTATATGTCGATTTCATTACAATTGTACTATCTGAAACAAAAATTATTATTCAGTCATAATAAAAACATTATGATTGAATGATATTATATCATTGATATATTATACCTTGGTTACAATAATGTACTTCATATAAATTTTGTGTATTGTTTGTTTCTATGTTAACAATTTTAACTACACGCGAAGACACAACATTTACATGTTTGTTTCTATATATCAGATGCTGAGGTACCTAAAATATTAGCATACTATTAACTATAGCATAAAAATATATTGTTTACAAAATTAATAAGATAACCTTTTTATTTCCTCCTTTAACAGACCACAAGTTACCATCTGCAGCTGATAAAGATATAAAACCAACAAAACTATGAATATTTGTATTTTGTCCATAGTTTACTACTAATGATGTTTGAACAAGTTCATCAATTAACTTTTCTGAATATCCTAGATTTAAAAGCTGATCTTTAATAGATATTTGTAATGATTTTGGGTATTCAGCATTTATGGCATATAAAAAATTAGTGATATTTGTAAAAGATTTTCCAGCATCTTGTAAGCCATATATTTTTTCAAAGTTCTTTCTTATAGAAGTTATATATCTGTTTGATATTAATAAAAGCAACAATTATTGTAACATGAAATGAATGCAATTGATCTTTTTATATAATGTTACAGAAGAAATATATGGGATACCTTTTAAGTTTAAATGGTTCAATACCATATCTATAAATAAATTTGGCTAAAGACAATATTTTCCATTCACTTTCTTCATATACAACTTTGTCACCATTCCAAATGCCATTTCTTTTATCATGAGATAATTTATGTTTTAAGCCTAAATCAATAAAAATTAATCTATAAATTTAAATATTTCACAAAAGGTGAGATTATTTTTACATAAAATACATAAAATAAAGTACCAAGCAGTTTAACAAATTCTTGCATATATTTATTTTCGGAGTGTATAATTGAACCCCCAGCTTCAAATTCATTATTATTAATTTGTACTGTGGCTAAGCGTCCACCGATTGTGTTTGCCTCGTACAAATCGATGTTAAGATTATTTTTAAATAATTCTGTAAGAAAATGTGAACTCGATGCGCCACCAATACCACCTCCCACAATCGCTAACAAATTAAATTTATAAATTAAGGAAGAATTAATCGGTAGTATTTTAATAAATGATAAAAGGACTTTACTTTTATTTAAATTACGTTAATTTCTTAAATTAAACATTTATCTGCTTTGCTATTTTTTCTCTACGTTTTAAATAATGAAATTATTTTGTATTACTAATCCAAATTTAAAAACGTATTTCAATTAATAAATTTATTTACTCACCAACATTTGGCTTGTTATTTTCAAAACAAATTCCGTTCTTCAAAATTGATATAAATAATAAAATTATATACCAATCCATACTTTCAATCTATTTTATGTTACTTTCAGAAACATTTGTTATCTACAGGATGTTCATGAGATAATGAACTAAAATTTGTAAGTGCTCTCTTCTATACAGAGCTGAAAAGAAATGCGATACGGTACAGGGGTAAGAGGGTTATTCCGCTTTTTTCCAAGCAGAAATATTCCATAGATTCCAAGGTCTACAACCGTTACACCAACATCGCGTGTGGGTACGCTATTGCTTTAAAGTTTGTCGAATCTGTCGTTATTACTCTATACCAATGACCTACCGCCGTCTCCCACTATACCGTCCTCGTGCTCTCACGCAAGTCTAGCGGTAGCTTTGCCCGTGTGCGAAGCCTGTTCGGCCTTTTCCGCCAATAACTACGTCACCATGTGACGCTCGATCACCTAAGCGCATGAGTAAGAATCAGGAGATTCCCTTTGAATCTCGGTGAGACGGAGTGTTTCGAGTATATGGGCGTTCGGGACAAAAATCATAACTTCTAAATTAATTAATTTTCGACCTAAGTTTTCTAATACTTTTTCGAAGAGAATTCAAATATGCATTGATTGGCACCTAAAAGAATATATGGTTTCATTTAAAAAAATTGTAGTGATCTTTATTTTTTATCGAATAAAAACTTTTTTGTAAATTTTCATTAACACGATTTATTGTCAACTAAATACTGATTAACTTCTGTTTGAAAAATCTGTTCATCAGTTTCGCGGAAATACCGGCAAAATCGTAGCGATCGTTTCGTATATAAGGGTTTGAGAGACAAATATCATAACTTTGTATACATTCAAAATTTCTCGTTTATTTTTGTTTTGCAATTTTCATTAGATAGTTAAATAACAATATAAATAATAAAAAAATTGAATAACGCGTACAATAGTAGTATAGGATGCTAGAATACTGAACGCGTCACTAACGATTTGGCAATTTTCTTTATTTTGAGCAAATTTGAGCAGTTAAATTTGACATTAATATAAATAAAGATTTATATGTTAAAAATTAATATACAAAAAATCACAGAGGTATTACTCGGTACTTTTTTTAAAAGTCTCGTTAAAGTTGATAGGGGCTGCCCGCGGGCAAATACTATTGTAATAAATACTATTGTACTTAATAAGTACAATCTAAATACTATTGTACTTAATTCCTATCCTATGGCCTATTTTCTTAAATATCCTGTTAACCCTTTTCGGGACTTTTATCGCTTTCTTCAGTCACTAAGGCTCATCCACAGAAACTCTCAACTATCGCAATCCAACGCTTACACCTTCTCTCACACGTGCTCACACTTTCCCCAACCTGAACCGAGTCCCACATGAATAACGAATACAGTAAATTCTCTACAAGAGTCAGTAAGTTTGGATTCTACAAGTGACAGTATAGATGGTCCTACGCCTAGGTTGCGTCATTGCTGCGCCCATGTTATCTCGCACGCAGTCAGTCAAGCGTGTAACGCTACACCAGTTGGTTACCTTTACGATATTTCACGGCTCGACAAATCATAATAGAAAAATACAATTTCTTTAATTTTACTTTTTTTCATCTGGAATTTTTTTTAACATATTACTGAGATTTTTCTGATGAAAATGATATCAAACACGATATAATTTGAACAACATTTACTTATTAACACGTTCACTGTCACATCAGATTTACAGGTTGCTGTCAGGCGGCCACAAGAAAATACATTTTAAGCATAGGATTACAGTATAATGCTTTATAATTTTTTTTTTTCAATTGAAAATAATGTCTAGCTAGCTATGACGTTCAAAATTTTTAGTTGACAACATTTATTTTATTTTAATTATTCTAAACATTCGAGGCACTCCAGTCACTGATGACCACCATGGCCATATCGAGGAAACAATCTAACGTTAAAACTTATTGAGTGATTAATTTAATTTCATAATATATCGCTTTAGCGAGCCACCGTTTGGTTGCCAATTGTTTATCACATAGAGGCGGCCTACCTCCACGTAAAAAAAAAAAAATGTAGGGTCAATTCCACAAGTGTCAGTAAAATGTAGGGTCGATAGCAGCAGAAAAGCTGCTAAACAATTAGAATTAAATGTAACGATAGAAATTATTGCAATAATGCGTAATGCAATTGAAAAATTGAAAGAATCAAAAGAAAAAACGCGAATTCGTATCTTTTTCGATTCTAGAATATAAGAAAATTTGAATAAAATACGCGACGAGAATTGGGGAGAAGCATAAGTTAAACGCGTAAAAATATTCAATAATAAACGAACTAGGGATGAAGCTATTATTTCAATACGCGATGCACTGACTCTAGTATTTACTAAAATTCAAAAATTCTCGTATAAATTCCGAAAATAGATTATTAATTACGGTAAACTACTGAGACGGTTTAATTTAGGACTGGGCATAAATGTAGTATAAATGCACGAGTGTAGTGCACTTGTTCCAAATCAGCTCACAATATACAATAATAAATCAACTAACGGTAAATTATTAGTAAACAAAATTCAATATCAGAGAAAATATATGAAAAATTTAAAATTAATTTCAATTGCTGGAAGAAAAGTACATATTGATTGTTATGCCCTAACGAAAAAGCAACCACTCAAAGTCATTTCAATATCCTATTCGACAAGTCTGAAGAACAACGATGACTAAAATTCAAATGTTTATTTCCCTAAACCTTCAAAATAATTTCGAAATATTTTATTCGAAACGGAGTATTCCAAGTCAGTATCGATAATTGAAGAAATTATTTGATTGTATTTAAAAGAACCGAAAGGAGAATATTTAAAGTCTGATATTAAATGTCTAGCAAGTACCAGTAATTGGTAAAATGATTTATATTTGTTTTAAAAGGAAAATTTCTAATAGGTATTAGTTAAAATGAATTATTATTCAGTCTATTGTATTGAAATTCTAATTGATTCTAATGTATACAAGTGTTACAAGAAGGCTGAGTGTGTACAGGGTGGACACTGACTCTAGTATTTACTAAAATTCAAAAATTCTCGTATAAATTCCGAAAATAGATTATTAATTACGGTAAACTACTGAGACGGTTTAATTAAGGGTGGGCATGGTGCTGCTTTAGTTTGAAATGATTTATAAACACATAATTAACAGAGGAAAAACCGTGAAACGGCAAAACGTCTACATTCTAATTGTTATAACATGTAAACAGAACTTTAAATTTAGTGTAAACAGAAAAAATATATAATACAATTTATTTCACGGTATTGCAACAAATAAACGTTGAATCAATATTTAATTCGTATAAAAACAATTATTTAACGTAATAATTTTACCTTCACTATGGCTATTTTTAATCTACGACCACAGGTCAACCTGATTTCTAATCCTTACGAACTTTAAATTCAGTCTAAACTGAGAAAATATATAATACAATTTATTTCACGGTATTGCAACAAACAAACGTTGAATAGATTCTTAATTCGTATAGAAACATTTATTTAAAATAATAATTTCACCTTCACTATGGCTATTTTAAATTTACGACCAAGGGTCAACCTGATTTTTAATCCTCCGAACTTGATTTCACAACGAGAAAGTAATAAGATCGTTGAAACGTACTTATTTGTCAAAGAAACTTGCAAAAATGTATAAATAATAATATGTAATGTTTTAACAAATTTTTGGAAGTATAAATTAATAATAAAATTGTGAAAATTAATAAATTATACGTTATTATAACATTAATAGAATTATGACTAAACCGAAGTTCGAAGTCGAGTATTTAAAGTCTGATATTACGTGCCTAGCGAGTGCCGGTAATTGTTAAAATTTGTTTAATAATTAGTAATAGAAATTCTAATTGATTCTAATGTATACAAGTGTTACAAGAAGGCTGAGTGTGTACAGGGTGGACATAGACTAGCTAGTAGCCCCCGATTAGCAAAATTGGGCGCGAAACCTCCTTTTACGCGGGAAATCGACTACTTTACGCGGGAGATCGACCATATTTCGCGGGAGATCGACCATTTTTCGCGGGAATTGATTATTTTTCGCGGGAGATTTCCATTATTCTATTCTAACTTTCTAACAGCCTATAATTTATTAATTTTCACAAGTTTTATTGTAAATTCATACTTCTCACAATTTCTTACAACACAACATATTATCATTTATACATTTTTGCAATTTTTTTCGGCGAATAATTACGTTTTAACGTTATTATTACTTTCTCGTGGTGGGACTGTGTTCGTAACGATTAAAATCAGGTTGACCTGCGGTCGTGCACTGAAGAAATAGCCAGAGTGAAGGTAGAATTATTACGTTAATTACATTTTCTTACAAATCGAAAGTTTATTCAACGTTTGTTTGTTATAATATCGTGAAATGAATAATTTGTGCAGTTTTGTGCATTTTCTGTGCAGTTCAATCTAATTTACTTAAATTTACGTTGCGAGACAGTATACAGTAACAAGTAGTAACAAGCAAACGTTGAATAAATTCCTAATTCGTATTAAAAAAGTTATTTAACACAATAATTTCAGCTTTATTATGATTATTCTTGATAAATGACCACAGGCCAACTTGATTTTTAATCGTTATAATCTTTAAATTCAGTGTGAATAGAGAAAATGTGTAATATAATTCATTTCACGATACTATAACAAGCAAACGTTGAATACATTTTTCATTCGTGTAAGAAGAATTATTTAACACGATAAATTTAGCTGTACTATGGTTATTTTTAATCTACGACCACAGGTCAACCTGATTTTTAATCCCTACGAAATTAATTTAACCACGAGTAAGTAACGAGAACGCTAAAACCTATGTTTCCATTGAAGAATATTGTAAAAACGTATAAATTGTTATATGCAATGTTATAACAAATTGTCGGAAGTATAAATTTTTAATAAAATTGTGAAAATTGATAAATTATACCGTGTTACGATATCGGAAATCTCCCGCGAAAATCTCCCGCGAAAATTTCCCGCCTGACCTAACCGACGATTTTGCTAATGACTTTGGGGAGAGGGTACCGAGGGTATATAAGGACCCGCCGATGTCCCGCGAAATCATTTACCCTTTATACTGGGCCCTAGACACTTCGCGGCGTATTTTGACCTGAAGGTTCTGAGATGTGAATAGAGTGGTCGGGGGCTACTAGCTAGCCTATGTCCACCCTGTACACACTCAGCCTTCTTGTAACACTTGTATACATTAGAATCAATTAGAATTTCTATTACTAATTATTAAACAAATTTTAACAATTACCGGCACTCGCTAGGCACGTAATATCAGACTTTAAATACTCGACTTCGAACTTCGGTTTAGTCATAATTCTATTAATGTTATAATAACGTATAATTTATTAATTTTCACAATTTTATTATTAATTTATACTTCCAAAAATTTGTTAAAACATTACATATTATTATTTATACATTTTTGCAAGTTTCTTTGACAAATAAGTACGTTTCAACGATCTTATTACTTTCTCGTTGTGAAATCAAGTTCGGAGGATTAAAAATCAGGTTGACCCTTGGTCGTAAATTTAAAATAGCCATAGTGAAGGTGAAATTATTATTTTAAATAAATGTTTCTATACGAATTAAGAATCTATTCAACGTTTGTTTGTTGCAATACCATGAAATAAATTGTATTATATATTTTCTCAGTTTAGACTGAATTTAAAGTTCGTAAGGATTAGAAATCAGGTTGACCTGTGGTCGTAGATTAAAAATAGCCATAGTGAAGGTAAAATTATTACGTTAAATAATTGTTTTTATACGAATTAAATATTTATTCAACGTTTATTTGTTGCAATACCGTGAAATAAATTGTATTATATATTTTCTCAGTTTAGACTGAATTTAAAGTTCGTAAGGATTAGATATCAGGTTGACCTGTGGTCGTAGATTAAAAATAGCCATGGTGAAGGTAAAATTATTACGTTAAATAATTGTTTTTATACGAATTAAATATTTATTCAACGTTTATTTGTTGCAATACCGTGAAATAAATTGTATTATATATTTTTTCTGTTTACACTAAATTTAAAGTTCTGTTTACATGTTATAACAATTAGAATGTAGACGTTTTGCCGTTTCACGGTTTTTCCTCTGTTAATTATGTGTTTATAAATCATTTCAAACTAAAGCAAGCACCATGCCCACCCTTAATTAAACCGTCTCAGTAGTTTACCGTAATTAATAATCTATTTTCGGAATTTATACGAGAATTTTTGAATTTTAGTAAATACTAGAGTCAGTGCATCGCGTATTGAAATAACAGCTTCATCCCTAGTTCGTTTATTATTGAATATTTTTACGCGTTTAACTTATGCTTCTCCCAAATTCTCGTCGCGTATTTTATTCAAATTTTGTGATATTCTAGAATCGAAAAGATACGAATTCGCGTTTTTCCTTTTGATTCTTTCAATTTTTCACTCTCGTTCTACGAAAGTGCAATAATTTCTATCGTTACATTTAATTCTAATTGTTTAGCAGCTTTTCTGCTGCTATCGACCCTACATTTTACTGACACTTGTCGAACCGACCCTACATTTTACTGACACTTGTCGAACCGACCCTACATTTTACTGACACTTGTCGAATCGACCCTACATTTTTTTTTTTTACGTGGAG